ATTAGTTCCCTTTACTAGATAGTGAGATTTCCCCCCCAAAATTTTGTTTTACTATAGGAAACAGCATTTTAATAACACCACTTATGAAGTATTGCTTTCAATAATATTGAAATTGGATCTAATCAAAACATGAGCTTTTTCAGCTTACAGGAAATGAAACAATCTGAAAGTGCACAATATGAGACATTTTATAGAACAACTCATGTAGTTTTTCAACAAGTCAGTGTCATGAAAAAAGGAGTCACTATTCTAGATGAGAAGAACCCACAAGACATAACAACCAAATGCAGTCTATGGGAGAAAATATTTGCAAAAGCCATATCAGATAAAGGACTGTTATGCAAAACATATGAAGAACACTTAAAACTCAACAATAAGAAAATGAACAGTCTGAATAAAAATGGTCAAAAGATCTGAATAGACACATAACCAAATGAGACATGCAAATGGTGAATAAACATATGAAAATATATTCAACATCACATGGTATAAGGGAATGAAATACAAATTAAAATAAAAAAGAGATACACTGCTTGTGTAGAGATAGTTAAATTCCAACATCAAATGCTGACAAGGATGTGGAGCAACAGGAACTCAATCATTGCCGATGGCAATGATGAATAGTACAGCCACTTGGGAAATTTAATAGTTTTTTACAAAACCAAACATTCTCTTACCATACGACTCACCAATCCCACTTTTTAACCCACATGTTAATGTTTATAGTAACTTTATTCAGAATTGCAAAAACCTAGAAGCAACCAAGATGTTCTTCAATAGATCAATCAATAAACTGGTACGTCCAAACAAGGAAATGTCACTCCATGATAAAAAGAAAGGAGTTAGGAAACCATGAAAAGAAAGAGAGAAACTTTAAATTCATAGTGCTAAGTGAAAGAAGTCAATTTGAAAAGGCTACCTATTGTATGAGTCCAACTGTAGACATACTGGAGAAGGTAAAACTATGGTGACAAGAAAAAGTAAGGGATTATCATAGGTTTGGGGGAGAGAGACAAGAACAGGCAGAACATAGATTTTTAGGGCAGTAAAACTATCCTGTATGGGGCTGTAATAGTGGATACATATCATCACACATTAATCAAAACTCACAGAATGTACAACGCAAAGCATGAACTGCAATGTAAGTACGGACTTCAATTGATAATGATGCGTCAATGATGGGTCATCAATTGTACCAAATGTACCTCACCTGGGAAAGATGCTAATGGTGGAGGACACTGAGCGTTTTGGGGAGAGGAGGGTAGTTATGTGGGAACTCTCTATATTGTCTGCTCAATTTTGCTGTGAGCCTAAAACTGTTCTAAAAAATAGTCTATTGTGAAATATGTGAATCAGTCATCACATAAGTATTTTTCAGACTCAAGCAGGTGCAGCATTTGCCAGACAAAGCAAATCCCATCCCAGCAGTCCACAGTATAAAACAGAGAAGGTTACCTTAGAGCATTTCCTCGCAGGCCAAATGGGACTTTCTTCTTTGCTTATTTTTATAATTTGTGGAAGAAAACATCTAGTTCTTAGAAGGCCCAGGGACAGTCAGCTAGACAGCTGTGGGCTGGCTTCCTGAGAAGCTTTTCAAAACGTGGCCGCATCCAACTTCTTATTCCCAGGGCTCCTACCAAAGCCAGACATAGGACGGATCTGCTGTCCCCCACATCATGCCCTTCCCCGACCTGGTTGTTCACCTGTCCCAGACCATCATTGACAGTATTCTGTTTCAGTTTGTATCTTTTATGCTTTTCCAGAGCTCTGGTCACAAAGAAAACATGCTGTCACCTTCCCTCGCCAAGTGTCTCTAGGTCAGTGGTTTTCAATCTTGGCTACTCATTGAAATCACCTGGGGAGACTGACCAACTAACACTACCTGGGCCCCACCTTCCGAGAGTCTGATTCATTTGGGCTCGGCATGCGTAGTGGGCCAAGCTTCCCAGGTGATTCTAATGTACAGCCAGGGCTGCAAATCACTGGTCTTGGAGAGCCCTTGAGGGGTACACAGACTCCAACACTCCAGCCAGTCATGTGAAGAGTTTTTTCTATCTCACGAAAGACTGTGAAAGACGCTCATCTCTCCCCTGCCCCAACCCAGCACACGTAGAAAAGTTCTAGCAAGCATGCTTTCAATGTATTCACTGATTTTCACAGATATGTACTGAGCACCTACTACGGGGACGCTGGGTGCTGACAGACCGCAGACACCTCCCTCCAAGAGCTCAGAGGACAAAGATCATCAGTGCGACCATCTCTAACATGAACGACCAAGTTCCAGGGTCCCTGCTGGTGGCCGCAGTTTGGACAGACTCTATTTGACAAACCTCTGCCTTGGCTCAGGGATGCGACAACCAGAAAAATGAGGGGGTCACTTTGTAATTCACCCAAAGGTGCCACGCATGCTGGGTAGCGTGCTGGCCTCCTGCAGAATGATTTGAGCTAGGCACTAGCACCACGCCTGGCACATCTGGCCTGTGACAAAAAAGGCTACATGAAGTTTTCATAAGAGGGGACTAATTCTGGCTAGGGGAATGCGGTCCAGCAGGCCTAAAGAGGTGACGTTCGAGCTGAGCTTTGAAGAATGACATGCCCAGTGAAGAGACAGGAGACAAGCATACCAAAAAGGCGGGTTAGACTGGGGAGTGGAGAGTGGGGGTCTGAGGCAGTTATCTCCGCTGGTGCATAGCGGGGCAGGGCTGCATGAAGCAGGCAAGGGAGAAGCCTTGAAAGGCTTACCACAGAGCAGAGACTTCTACTCAAGTGTGGAGCACTGAGAGGATTTCAGCTCACATGTAACACAAACAGATCTTGGTTTTGGGACTACACCACTGGCTGTGTGGAGGAAGGACCTAGGGGACATTGGGGAAAGGCACCACTGGCCACCACACACTCAAGTCAGAGCTGGAAAGGCGCTTAGGGTCCTCGAGAATCCCCAAGGGAACTTTGCAGTTAGATTCTCAAGAGTTCTAAGTCTCTAAGGCCCACTGTCCCACACATACCAGGCTCATATTTCATAGTCAGGGTTACCAAAGGCACCACATTACTTTTGTTGGCTATCATTACCTGTCCACTGGTGAAGCAGTGACTTTGTTGCTACTTCCTCAGATAATCTGATGTGATCAAGAGTCAAAGAAGAGACTGTCTTGAGAGGAGGTGTATCTTGAGACCCCTCAAAGCTGCACACAACCAACTGATAAAAGACCTTGGTCCGGAGAACAAGACAAACTTATCGGTTTCCTTCCAGAGTGCACTATGCATCTAGAAGAAACATTTCTGAACAACTAGGCTATGAAATCCAAAGTGGAAATATGCTTCTGATACCATTCTTGGGGTTTTCCTATATTTTGAAGACTCTGAGTGAGGAATTTTGTTTAGTCTCAAACATAGCATTGCAATACCAACACAGACTAAATATAAAGTGTTCACGTTCATTTTATGTGTTTTACTTCTGAAATAATGAAGAATTATTGCATGCTCTTATTTCTATATATTTTTTCAAGAAATCTCAATGTTTTTGTTGAAATGTAAAACAGTGTGTAATAGCTTGTCTTCTGTAATTGAAACAAACAAAAAGAGGTATCACCTGTCTTACTAAGTCAGAATCTCCAGCAGTTGGGCCCAGTAATCTATACTTTAACAAGTTCCCAGCTGATCTAACCTATTGTCACCCCTCCTTCAGGTACCTACAGCATCTCTGCCATATTCACATTGCTCTTTTGTTATTATTCACACAAGTTGTTTCAGATTCATTAACTTTAAAATTGTAGTCACCCCAAACATTAATCCATTAAATTATGGGTTTGATGCATTGTTTTCTAAAAATACAGATCAAAACACATATCTATTTTTTAAATCTATCATGTAACAACTGAAAGCAGCCCCTGAATCCCTCCACTACTCCACCTGCAAGTTTGGGAAGAGTGGGTTCAGGCGCTGCTCTACCTGGCACATCAGAGCAAAACTCTCGCACCCTCTCCCTCTTCCTCCAGGAACCCTCCCTCAAGGCCTGGGGGCCCTCATACTGTCCTGTGGAAAGCCCCTCGCCACCAGCATGTACCCCTCTCCTCCTACCCTTCCCCTAGTACCCGCTTTTGTCACTCCAACCAAACCAGCCTTTTACATGCAAACTTAGAACAGTGTCGCTGAAGCACAGAAAAGGGTTAATATAATTTGGTGATGCACAGCAGTTTTAGCCCTTAATGTGCAAAAGTGCTGTTTTCAAGAATGGGACTCCCCTCAAACAGCTGTGTTCACAGAGCCCTGTTCGCCCAAGCACCCTGTGAGGAGCCGCACCCACGCCTCCAGCCTCGTTCCTTGTCAACCTTCTCGCTCACTTTGCTGTGGCCACACTGGCTTTCTTACTCCTTGGAACACAACTTAGTCTCTCCTTCTTAGTACACAGCTTCTTCCTGCTCCAAGGCCCCTGCTTTTGGTGGGATTCCTTCGAGTGGCAGCCTTTCTTGGTTCCAATGCAAATGTCACCTCTTTCCCAGAGGCAGCTCCTGACCAGCCCTGTACCACTCCCATACTCTCCAAATCCCTCGCACCCTCAGGCATCCTCTATCCCAGTAGTTTTCAATCCTGGTTGACACTGCCTGTCAGGAGATATTAGGTAAGGTCTGGAGACATTTGCCATTGTCACAACTGGAGGGGCACAACTGTCACCTGGTTGGTAGAGGCCAGGGATGCTGCTCAACATCCTACAAAGCACAGGACAGTCCCCCACAGCAAAGGGTTGTCTGGCCCCAAATGCCATGGTTGAGAAGCCAGGCTCTTTCACTACTCCCTTTCTCCGCAGCATTAATCAGTACCAGCATTGATGGTTTGGGCGGGGGGCAGTTCCTCTCTACTAGATAGGAGCTCCTTGGGAACTGGAGTTCAGGGTCGTTCTAGAGTGCCAGGCACACCTGACCCTCCTGCCCTTGGCTGGGGAGTCCACACTGATTTGAAGATGCCTGGCCTCGATGAACAGATGAGCCCAGAAAAGAAGTCAGTTTTCAAAAGGAAAATGAAAATCATGTTTATTGGACAGTGAACACATAATGAAACTAGGATACCCTCACACTTTGGCACACTCACAAAATTATCTTCACAGCCATCAGTGAACGATTGGTTCTGCTACTACTTAAAGATGTATAAAATTTCCCAAGTTTAAATAGATGTTCTTAATTATACCTGTGTCCTAATGTCCCAAGACAGATTGTAAAAAATGGAAAATTTGAAACATTCTACAAGATTGATATATTTAAAAACCAGAATTTAATATTCACCAAATACCTTCCCTTCCTTTCTTCTTGGTTATTGACAATTATTTTCTATGGCATAAAATGAAAGAAAAAATTACCCAATAAAGTTTTCCATAAAAGAAATATTCAAAGATTAAAAAAAAAAAAGATGTTCTATATAGCAAGAGACTAACGAAAGCAACACTTGAAATTATCTACTGAGCACTAATACTAGATCTGCTAGTACTACAAACTCAACTAAAAAAAACCACTTGCATTTCTGTAGTGATTTTCACTTTGGAGACGTTCACAAGTAACATGTCATACGCTCTGAAGTAGGTATGGAAATAATGATCTCTAACAGATGGAAAAATGTTGGCATCAAAAAGTTTGCCCTAATGTCATCAGTGTTATTGTTAAGAGTTAGGATTAGAACTCAAGTCCTGGTTCTAATTCTGCGTCACCTGCTTTCTCCAGGCCCCCGCATATTGTTTCACAGAATGCTACTGGGCAAGCTAGTAGTCACTGCGCTCATGGGTTTCAAACGCGTTTTGGAAATGCTGGATTAAACAAAGTTAACCAGATTTCTTTAATGTGTCATCGTAAATCTCCAGGAAAGGTACAGGGAATAGAGCAGGCGTCATAAATCCAAAGGCCCACAAAAGTCACAAAGTAGGTAACAAACATGCACATGCAGGCAAGGCAAGGACTGGGGCGGGGGAGGGCGGGGGGCGCTAAGGGGATGAAATGCCATCTAATGGGGTCCTGATTGCATCAACTGCAGTCCAATGTTGCCAGGACATTCCAGAGAAGCTACAAATCTGGGCTTTAATCTGAAAACTCCATGGTCATGCATGTTGTCTTGAATTTAAAAGAAAAACACTACAGTTTGTACCAAATTTTTTAGACCAGTCTAGCTTTGCCTCAGTTGGAAACCTAACACAATGCATCACATTCTTATTTGTCCATATAACCTTTATTCAGTGGTACTATTAATTTCTTAGAATTCTGCAGACTGCTCTCCTAGACCATAATGGTTTCAGTAGCTCTGAACCACAAGCATGAATTATTTCAGGGTTAAATCAAATTGAAATTAATATCCAGCCTTGTTAACTCTTCATACAGAAATGTTTCTGGTGGCTAAAACTATCCTTAACTTTTGTTTAACTCTCTTGGTAAAACCAAAAATTCAATTGCAGAAAAGGAATAGCACTGAAATTGATGTGACATAAAAACAAAAAACTTCATCCTTGCAAAACAATTTTAAAAATCAAAGTCATTTGGGGACAATTTAGAATTTCAGTTATATGTGCAAACTTGCTTTTCTAACTCAGAAAGTCTTTTTCCCTATTCTCTCCCCTTTTTTTTCCTTTATCTATCTCTGCCTTACATCATTCTAAAAATTAGTTTAGATTCCCTGACGGTTGTCTACATAAGTGCCTGAACTATGGCACAGATATAGCAGACACAGATACATGTGTTAAGTTACATAGCAACAGATTTCTTACCCTGCGATCTAATTGGTCCACACACTGTCCCAGCTTCTTTTAACTGCTACAATACCCATCCTAGTCCCAGGGAAAGCATTTAAAACCTTATGTGTTCAGAGTCATTAAAAAAAAAATCTACTGGTGAAATCACACTGACTTAATTTCCCTATGAGGGAAATAAAAACTTGTGCATTGCCATGATTTAAAAACCTTGGGGGACCTAAGAAATGTAATACTTGAAGTTGCAAGATAAAAAATAAGAGATAATCATGAAATGCTTCCAAGTAAAGTCATTTAAGTACTGAATTAGATTTGTTAATTTTAAGTCCTAATTAACTCTTCTTGAGAGCTTCGATGACCAAGGTGAAGTTTTCTTGTCTCCCCAGTGATAATTCTTGATGGATGCAGGATTCATAATATCTAAAGAGAATATACATCTCTGAAGTGTTCATTTCATATTTGGGAGAGAGCACTGCCATAACCAGAAAGGCTGAGCTGGTTCAATATAAACAATGAGGACTATATTACTAACGAGGCTGACTACACAAGTAGAAGAGCTAGACACACTCTACCCAACACCACTGACATGGGCAAATGACCAAAAAAAAAAAAAAAAAAATCATCCTGGAACTTAAAAAGACTCTGACATGCTGTTACATGGTCACTGTCTTCTGCAGTTAAGGGCACAAAGCCCTAGAGAGCCACTGGATCTTAATGCGTGTCATAAACATTGTTCTCAAAGTAGATATTCTCATCTGCTCGGTAGTGCACCACAGTTGCATTTTCCAAAGCTCCATTCTTCAAGTCATTTGATGAAACCTTGCTACAAAAAGAATAACATGATAAGAGAAAAGCAGACCACTTCAAAAGTATGGGCAACATGTTTGTTTACACTCAGTTAAGACTGGGTATTTGCACCTCCCAGACCCCCTTCACATAACCTATGGAATGAACAGAAGCCTCCAGAGCTATGAATATTAAGTTGTGGAATGGTGGTTTAGGAAGCAGGTAGAGCCTAAGCAGTATTCAGAAAAAAGTCAGACTAGTCTCCTTCAAGGGCCTCATGTAATAAAATACAAAAATTAATAATCTAGAACAATAATTGAAGTACTAAATCAAGATGCATATATTCTCAGAGGTGGCTAAGAAATGATTGCTGTTTTTCCAACTGAGAACTCTGATATCTTAAAGGGATTATTGAATCTATGATGTGGTCTATATACTGTATTTAAGATCAACAAAGAACACAAAATATCCGAGCATATTGGATGTAGTAAAATAGTGTTGTTTCACATAAGTGTGTATTGGATCATGGTATCAAAATCTTACTGTGTCTTAATGGTCAGAATTTGAAAGACATCTGTTAGATGACTTTTATAACATATACACTCATACATAAGGGTACAAAAATGTTATGTGTAGTTTTTATATGGCTGCTTTTTCTAATTTGTATATATATATAGTGACTGGTTTTATTACATAAACCTGCCCAGAAATGATGTGTACAGCTCCGATCTTTAAATGGACCAGTCACACAGCTGTGAAAATAGCTTAGGTGTTAATAGCTCGAAATGAGTCAGTGTGATGCAGCTGCCAAAAAAAAAGTCATGAGGAAATGCTAATTTTTGTTGTTTTTTCTTTCTTTTTTACATTTTATAATATTTCCTACAGTAAATATGTTTTTATTAAGTAATAGAAAGTAGAGATAAAGCAAATGTTAACAGTGAAGGACAAAAATCAAGTAAAATGATGCTATATTCCATGCTTTTCTGTCTCTAAGGAGTATTTTTTTCCTTCTATTCTTGGAAGCGGACAGTCAAAAAACTTCCATAAGTATGAGATGTAGACTCTAAAAGACTTATGATTAAGTCTTCTACCTGCTGTGTGGGGTATCCTTGGATGTCACTTAACAGTCCTAAACCTGTTTCCAATAAAGTGAGAATAATAGTGCCTGTCTCACAAGTTTATTGCTGTGAAGGGCATGATTGCAATAACTGAAGCCAACATTTATGGATCACTTGAAATGTGCTGGGTATTGTTCAAGGCACATTCTGTGGATTGGATCATGTAATTAACTACAACAGAGGAAAGACTGTGTGCAAATATCCAATGAAAAAGAACTAGAAATAATGAATGGCAGCCTCAGAGGGATTGATTTTGAATTGAAGAAACACCTTGCGTAAAGCCCAAGCTGAAATAAATGAAGCAGGCTACTTGGAACTGGAAGTAAGCAGTGGCTTCATATCATTACAGGTGTTCGAGCAGATGACCACAAGGCCTGGATGCAAGTAAAAGGGACTAAACTTTTAACTGGGCAGTAGGCTGGGTTCACAAAATGGGTTTGTAAGTTCAAATGTCTATGAGGCCCGATAAGCAAAGTAAAGGAGCATAGCAGGGTGGGGATGGAAGAGCAGGCTGGGGATGGAAGAACAGGGGATGAGGGCACTGTGGAGAACTGGAGGCACTGGCCCCACCACGGTGCTGCTGGCCTTCTCCAGCCTGGAGTTGTCTCCCTGCAGATCTTTGCAGAGGTGCCTTCTACTCCTCAGGGATCACTCACACAGTCCATTGACCCTGCTCTATATTGTCCATGGTATTTGTCTAGAAGCACTAAAAGGACCCTGTTTATTTGCTTGTATGTTTCCTGTCTGTTTTGTTCAACTCTTTAGAATGTATAACAGGCATTCGGTAAACAAATTACTAAATGAAATAAAGAAACAAACAACTCATTCAAATGTTTCGACAAACAAAATTTGTGATTTGGTTCCCTTACTCGAAGACTTTAGGTTTGAGGTACCCCTTCTGAAGCAGTTCATGACATATTCCAGGGAAATACAGAAAGCTAAGAACATCACTGGAAGTTGTGGACAGCAATGGAGACACATGTTAAACTAGTTTTCAGGATCCAGGGTATAAAATGGAAAGGTCAAGAGCAAGAGGAAAGGGACAGAGAAATTTTTCTTTGTTTTGATTAGAGAAGGAACACTGAAAGGCATTGACACAAACCCTTTCTAACTTACCTTATTTGTAACACCTTTTTTCTTGTGCATAAATATTCTAAATTGAGGAGGAGTTGAAGAGAAAATAAACATGTCAGTCCAAGAACTCATTAGATCTTTTTGCAAACAAAATCTTTTTCCTGTTATTACTTTAATATGAACAAATTCTGTATAGAGCTAGAGCCTAAAAAAAGTAAATTTGGAAGAATGTTTTTAAAAAGGGAAAAAAACAAAAAACAAAAACAACTCAGACTAGGCTCTTACCCAATAACTTCTTCAGGTAACTCCTTTGGAATACATATGACCCAAATAAACCCCTTAGCGCAAATTATTATATGTTCATTAATAGTTTAGTGTATTCACGCACATGCCCCAGCTGACCTTAATGCTATTATTAACACTTATATTTCATTTCTAAAAATCTATGATTGTGGTTCTTTCCTGGAGGCTGGTTACACACATACATAAGTCAATGGTTACTTTTTAGAACCCTTTCTTCTACTTTTACCCTGAAATCTGTTTCCCTGCCAGTGTTAACCCCTCTTCGGTTAAGTGAGTTTTGTAAAACTCTCAATATATTATTCTTCGCTTCCAAATCCCAGCTCTACCCAAGAAACTCTTATTTCTTCATATTTAATTTCTCCTATAGAGATTTTAAATTTCATTTTTCCCCTTATGGGCCCATATATATTCTTTTAAAGTATGGGTTATGAAACAGAGAAGTTATGTTAAATCAGAATTAGGTGGTCTGTGGAGCTGCTTAGACCAAGGCAGTTGAGCTCTAGAACCCTCTCTGTCCCCTTAGGCACAATCCTGAACGACTTACTTTTGGAAATTACAGCAGCCAAAATAGTGAGCAATATCATGGCGGTGATAGAGATTCCAGCGTAGAATGCCTCATTGGTGGTCAGCTGTGGAGTTTGTTCCAGGCACACGAGCTAAGGACACATCAGAAGATGGAAAAAGCATGTTGTTAGAATTACGGGTAGAAAACATTTCCTAAAATAGCATACTCAGATAAGTTTACCTTTACTGGCCCTTGGCTACTCTAGACCATGAAGAAAGGATGAGACCAAATAATCTGAGGTTGTAACTATGGTGAAATTCTATGACAATTTGAAATGTAATATGTATTTGGGGAGGTAGAAATATCTTATATGTTGTTTGGAATGGTATTTATATAGATGTATACATTTATCAAAGCTCACTGCACACTTCAAAGGATACTCTTTATTATAATATATGTAAATAATCCATTTTTTAAAAAATATTACTAAACTAAAATACATAGCTTAATAAATACAACCTACTATTTTATTAAAAAAGAAAAAAAGCAATATTTATTTATATACAAGTTGACAGGGTGATACTATCTGATGCTGTGTGTATGCGCTCAAACATTAATTTGGTCCTTAATACAGTCCTTATGTTTTTAATGTCACTTCAAGACTCTATTTATGTCTATATAAATGGACCTGAATTCAGCTGCCCACGGACACGGCCCTGATGAACAATTAACTTAAAATTCTGCACCACTGGGTAGAATACAGAATTTTGTTTAAATCTCCAGGAGGTGGACCTACTGGGTCAAATCGTATGCTTCATGTTTTCATCTTAACATTCTCAGAATCAAGGCTCGAAAAGCTCACAATTTTGCTATTGCCCATCATGAACTTGCTTCTAAATTGCTTCTGCTTGTTGCTAAACATACTTGTCCAACAGGTAACTCAGGTCAAGAACAATCTCACCATTCTGAATGATTTTTTTTTTTTTTTTTAATTCAGCATATGCCTGGCTATAGAGTAAGATAAAATCACTTACATAGTAGCAGTTCTGGGATTTAGGAGGTATGCACAAGTTCAGCCCACATCCATCAGGGTCCATGCCATGTGAGTTGTTAAATCGCTCCACCTTGCCTGACTTGAATTTCTTTTACTATGACCCAGCTGTCATTTCTCACCACTTGTAACCAGGACTGATACCTTAATAAGTCATCCTGTGTGGAGGTTAAGGTATAGAAAAACTCAGAAGTGGCCTCCAAATTTCTATATAGCATGATGTTGGGTTGGAAAAGGATATTAGAGGGCCTGTATTTAAGCACACACATTACCACTTTCATAATATTTCTGTGTGGAATGGTCACCAGGCCACCAGAGGCACTCGAAACATGTTATTCACCAAATGATGACCGAAGGCTTCCTGGGTATGTTATGTTAACTCACTCTCCTTGAGTTAATTCATTCTTTTTGGTCCAAATTTTGGCCAGGAGACAAAGTCTACAGTGCGTGAGTGTTGGTGTTCGTGTATGTCAGTAAAATATCACTTATCAGGTATCTCTATCAAACCGGTGTACTCGTATCTAAATGAACTTTTCAAATTAATTAAAGCATCATTAGTTAAGAAACAAATTCTTTTCTTCCTTGTCTTGTAACTAAAAAGAATCAATCTCTGGGCCAGTCATACAGAAGGAATCTCTAAATAGAACTTGCTTCCAGGGAGACATACAAGTGAATTTGGCTAATAAAAGAAGAAGGAACATGCTTACAGTTTCATTGTATTGCCAACCGCCATCTGAAGGCTGTGCCACAGTGCCATTCCCATCTGCTCAACAAAAAGGAAAATCAATTAGAATTACAAAAATTATTAAATTTTCGCCGCAGACACTAAATGTATTCACATTGATTTCTGGTGATGGATGAAAAGCTGAATAATAATATGGCCAAATGTGGCAGGTTACAAGACTTATACCAAGTTACTAACATTTATTGGTTTATCCTATAAGGTTGTATTTATTAACCATTTTGCATGGACCCTGTGAAAATGGAACCCACTTTACTTTTGAATGAAAGAAAAATGCATAACATACAAAGTTTTACCTTCAATTTTAGGGGCACAGAGGTATTCTTGGAACTAAGTTAAAAATGCCACTTAAAGGTAGATAACTGATATTTGTATGCCAGCTAAGAACCTGGCAATGAGATCCCAGAGACCATAGGTACATCTAAACATCAAACTACTCTATCAGGAATGGACAGTACATTGGTTTTACATTCAAAATGTAAGTAAAATGCACTAAGATTATCTAAATCAAGAGGCATATATCTCCTACATTATAAGCTAATGAGCCTAGATACTGATCCAGAAGACCTGTAGGAAATACTTGTTATATCAGACATAAAACCAGTATATCATACATTACCTAAAAGCCTAATATAAGAAGATATTGTTCCTTAACATTTAGAATGTTCAAATTTTAATAGTGCTTTGAAATATCTATTTTGTAACAGAGAATATATTGCTGGCTTTCCTAGGTCAAATGTAGAATTCTCTTTTTACTGAGATCTACACTATACTAGGCACTTTACAACCTTATGACAATTTCTTTAAACCTATTTTATAGATAAGGAAACAGACATGGAATGGATAAATAAGTCTCCAACTCTAGTAAATGACAATAGCCTCTGCTCATGACCACCACACACTCCCATCAAATGAAAACACTACAAGTCTTTGAAATTCCCTAACTGCTGACAAAGGTATAGAAACTCAATGGTAATAAATTGGAATGATCATACCCCTGTATATGTTTACATTACTACTCTGTTTAAATTTTGCTCATTCTGAGACTGCTTTTAGCCTAAGGCACTACTTAGGTTTAGGCTATGTTTCTGATTTGTATTATGACCTTAAAGTAAGTCCTTCAGGTCTAGAACTGGATGATGCAGTAAAAATTGCATGAACTCGAGTCTGATGAAATTTGAGTTCAACGCTGACAATGTCCATTAGGAATGTGACCTTGATCAAGGTCCTTTGCATGCACTTATTTGTGTATGTGTGTGTGTAATTCTAGCTACTTAGCTTGAACTACAGCAATAAGCTGTTAATATTACCCAATCTCATAAACTTGTTCAATTAGATGGTGCACATAAAGCCCTTCATACCGCTCCAGATAAATATCAGCTATGACTACATATTATGATGTTACAATAGAAGGTTCAGTGCAGGGAGGAACATTGAGCAACGACTTTCCAAGCATCGACTTTTCAAGCATCGTGCCCTTCTATCGGCAGGAACACCTAGTGAGGAAAGCCACAACTTGCCCATGGCCGTGCAGCTAGTAACTGGCAGAGGAACTTGGAGCTGTCTCGAAAACAAAGCCACAGGGCTTCCCCAGTCTGGCAATATCAGTAAATAAGGTCTGCCTTAAAGAATTAAATGAGATAACATGTGATGCTTTCCTGGCATATACACTGTCAAAGATGGGTGGCAGGCCATGTGATGACCAAAATCTCCAAATCTAACATTCTTTGTTTCTCTGAGACTTCCGCCCACAGAAAGCTGATAGGCACAGCAAGGATTAGGCTCTAGAGCCTCAGATACACCGCCAAGAAGGCATCAAACACAAGTCATGGGGACACAGCTGCTCCAATGTCTATTCTATCCCAGAAAGCTCTACCTTGACCAGGTTTTAGTGAACATGACATTTTAGAGAATGATTCCCACTCCTGCTTTCTTCTTCCTCACACCCTTAAAAGTGTGGGTGCCGCTGCTCCCACTGCTGTTACCTTGTGTTCTTATCTATTTTCACTATGTTTATGTGTCTAGAAATTTTTCCCACTAAGGATTCCACTTTCGAAACAGAATGTCACCATTATGAAATCCCAACTCAATAGGTCCCAGTCTGAATCTCACTGTAGGTGCATTTTAAGTTAACCATCTTGAAGAAATATTTGGCAGAAGATAAGCCATTCAGGGCCTCCTACAGAGTGGCCACTCTTGTGTACAGTGAGTCATACACATGAGGAGTCTTGCAAGGTTTGACCTTGCTTGGATGCAACACAAGCACAAGGACACATGGCCAGCTCTGTGTTACAGAGGGATTCAGCATGTGGTACTCACCACACTTACCACTATGGGCAACAGAATTAGATGGAAAAGATGACAGGATTCAGTATCACCTTTCTCCACCACAGGACAGACCCATCAATCTTACATTTGAGAAAGGAGAGAGTATATGGGACCTGCCCAGAATGGGAAGAATGGGGAAGAAATTTTGAAGGAGAACAGCAGATTCTCAGAGGGGCATGCCCTCAACCCATCTCAAAGTGTTCATTTGCAAGCCTGGCAAAGAAGCAGGGGAGCCTCCTGGATACACTAGGCTCTGAGGCTGAGAAGAAACATAAACATGGGTGACTGGTGATTTGGATTTAATTGTTTCACAGCTCTGGGCCAAGGAAGCAAGCCTAGTAATAAGTCTGGAGTCAAAACTGGTTTGTTTTATTTAGAAAAATAGAGATATGCATGTAGATGTTCCCAAATCATGCAAGCTACCTATGCTAGCCACGTATATGTACTATGGACATCTAAGTAGTAGTCATAGTTGCTATTATATCTGTCACCCTTATAACTCTGTGCCAAGATCTTTATCTCATTTAATCCTCACAAGGATTCTACATGATCAGTGATGTTCCTTCCATTTTACAAATAATGGAAATAGATTCAGAGAGAGCAAAACTTTTGATCAAGTCACATCGCTGATTGCAGGGGCCAGTGCTGGCACTTATGTTAGATCTGTCTTATTCCAGAATATGTGATCTCAACAACACAACAATGATTATTAAATTTAAATGCCCAGTAAAGAAATTTTATCAGGAAAGAAATGAAGTTACCCGTTAGGCAAGAGTTCGATTGTAAGCTGGTCGTATATGTTTTCTGTGGAGTGGTAGGCTGGGTTTCTGTCGTCTGCACTGGAGAAGATGAAATATTTTCTGGAATGAAAAAAATCAAAGAGCTGTGTTCTATTTGTAGAGAAAAAGTCCCATCCCTACAAAAGGAGACAACGAGACTAAAATCAGAAATTACCTTCAGCTCTTTTTTCAGAAATACATCCAAAGATGTCAACGAGGCATTGCACTACCATCTAGGTATTTCATAATCATGAATAAATCTGACCTAGATAATGATCTGGACAGTCAACTAAAGACAGAATTATTTCACAGTTTTTATACTCCTAGCTCTTTAAATGTATAAAGTCTACACTAGTGCACTTATGTAGGACACCCAATTGAGCTTTTATCCATACAAGTGACATTTCATTTTTATGCAACAGGGATCTGGGAGTTTGCGCTAACCTGCCCTCCCTCTTAACAACAACTCTAATCTGGATTTTCTGACCTTATTCAAGTTCCCAATTATCCATTCACACACTTTTCCACAGAGATGCACATACTGACCTGTACAGGATAAACTCACAATATATAATTCCTTGAAGCCTCTTCAAGGTGACTATATTACCCAGGGTCTCAGCCTTGGTAATGATTCACACCCTCAAAGTAAGTTTCCCCGTAGACCTCGACCCTGGCTCCTTCTGCAGTTGCACCTAGTCATTTCTTTTGTCAGACTGACTTCTTGTGTTGTCTGACTCATCTCTTTTTTCTACCCCAAAATCCTCACTCAGAATTCTCCAACACAGGGCTCCATTTCCTTTTCTTTCTTGAAATCAATCCTTTGTTTTCCATCAAATATCTTACCTTCTCCACAGAGTACGTCACTTCCTCTTTATAAGATCTTGATATTCCAACCCCTTAGAGCACCACAGAATTTTAGAGCAAATTGTGATGCTGACTGGATAACAATTCTCACACCTGGGCTTTCCATGGCCTCTCATTGGTCTTTTTGTTTCCTCTTTTCTACCAAAGTCTTCACATTTCTACATCTCCCTTTCTCATGTTCTGTCCTGTTTCCCTGTCTTCCTCTTATATTCTAACCTGTAACAATTGTGGCTCTCTTTAGGAACTAAGAACAAGATGCTACAAGAACATCAGATGACCAGAGTCTCTCCAACTTAGATCTATGCGAAAAAACCTCCTGGGCTTAAATTCTTTCCGAAGGTTAGGTCTTCATGGGTATCCTTCTTCCTTTTCCTGATCCTACAACCTTACATCAAACCATCTACACATATTTTAGGCAACTAGCATGTGCCAGAGGACTGAGAACAGACAGGGAGTGGTGTAAAGACAAATGTCTGCACTGAATTAGCTCCAGTGTTCAACTCCATCCTAAACTCAGACTCCTTAGGACACTATCAGGATAAGGATAAGGCTCAATGCAATAAATAATACAATTCATATTCCCCAGGTGCTCACACAGACATTAAACCAACACTTTTATTCTGAATCTTTGCTTCAAACAAAGTCAAAAACATGTTCGCCAGAACGATTCCACTAATCCACACACTTTTGCAGGCACGAACTAAGTCAAACTAAGTATAAAGAAACTAAAGCAATAATGAGAAAATCTACAGACTCTTTAGTATGTTCAGCTGCCTGGAACAAAGTTGTTTGTCTTACAAACTTTTATGGCTCAAAAATTCCAGTTTTAACCTGAAGTCCTCTCTTCCAAACTCAGTTCATAGACCAAATGCCTTAAGTCCCTCTTGGTTAAATATATGCATAGTTCAATGAGAGGCAAGGAAAAATCAGTATGTTTCATTAGATATATCTGGCTAAGAACTGTGACATCTCTGTTGCTCCTCAGAATCCAGAGCCACATCAAAATATAAAAGTTTTGAAGGCTATGAGAATCTTCACTAAAAGTTATCATTTCAATCTTAGAAATAGAAGATTTTAATATAAACTGGTCCTCAAGATGGAAAGCTATTTCCCCACTCATACTTCTAATTATTCTCCATTTATATTAAATCTAAATCTCACCTATCAGAAATTTGAAGTGTGACCCATGTAGCCTGTATTGAAAAAATCACGTATATGCCAAATCGCTGAATCTTCAAACCTGATCTTTAATAGTATAAAGAGCATGAATAGTAAAACGCCTTAATCTAAGTTAAAAGTATAAATACCTTTTATTTAAGTTTATGCTACATAATAAAGTAAAGGATGCTAGAAGCAAAAATGTGTAAGTCACTAACTGCTATGAAAAGAAAGGGTAATTAAACAAATTCTTTTTTAGTGACAATGTCAAATCTGGATAAATTCATTCAAACATAATCTTGGTGCTCATGAATGAAGGTACGAACCAAAATGTATAACCAGAGTCCCATTTCAAATTAATGAAGACTGAATGCTGACTCAACCACTTTCTATCCATATGCCCAACAACAAATGAACTAAGACTCTGGGCCTTGGTCCCTACAACTATAAAATAGGAATGATTCCCACCTAAAATGTATAGAATTGACATAAGAGTTATGTAATACAATTCTTGAAAGGACTTACCATGATTCCTGAAACACAGGAGAGGAGTAAATGTTTACTTCACTTAAATCTTATGCTGAGTGGAGGGTCTAACTTCAGAGAGGACTAAAGGACCTCCACTCAGAGCTCCTGTGAGGGCAGAATCTCATGAACCTGAACCTTGTTCTCGGGCATTTCCACTATTTTCCTCATAAACTTGTGCTCAACTGGGACAAATCTACACTGTCATCATTAGATGTCAAACATCAGTGGTCTGGGGTAGGTTGGCTAACAATGAAACTATGTGAGAATCTGATTCAAAAACACTACAAGTCCCCTCACTCTGAAAAAAGTCATAGGTACAAAAGGAGCATGTAACATGGCCCAGGAGTTCACGAATCCTGTGAGGTCCATATTAGAAACCAAGGAAAGAAACTTACA